TTTTAACGGCTGAGAAAGTGTTAAATATCATTTCGCTGCTTAGCATCGATAGAGGCACAAATTAAAAAGTCAATTTCGCAAAAGAAAAGTGTTCGAAATTTGCACTAAAATTTGATCAACAGTTGAATACTGATCATACAATCTAATCGGATTTCCGATGTGAAACTGGTCGCACAAAATAAAACGATCTATCCCTCGATGTTACATTTCCAATTCTCACAGCACAGACTTCTTCTTAAAAATCATCCAAACACAATTCCTCCGATCAACAGCGTATTATAAATCAGAAAATAAAGACAGCACTCCCGGTTACGCGTTAGATGACACAGGCGTTCATTCGCGATCAAATCGGCGTTAAGGGGATGCCCTTAAGAGCGCGCGGAGTTGCCGCGTTCACGCCAGTCACGCCGATGATTAATGATCCATGAATATTTACGCGTGCCATTAACTCGTACCGTTTGATTGGACGCTTCCTGTTCGCGCCAGATCGTAATTCGTAATCGCATCCTATCCTTGTACCATTTGTAAACCATACACAATGTTTCCCCTTTGCCTCGCTCCGCCGATCGGCTCGATCCGAAAACGCCCGGAGTGTAGTGTTCCGTGGCCCGTTTAAATTCACCAAACTTCTCGCCTAGGCGACTCACGTTTTCCGCGAGCGAGGCGCGAGATAGCGGCGTCCGATAGCGGCCCGGTTGGAAGTCGCATTAATTTCGTCTCCCTCGACTCTCGAGGGTGGATCGCGGGGTGTCTGCGAGGCGGGGGGATGGGTAACGGCACGCAGAAACGCTTCCCAGGCGTTTAGGTAAGGTATTCACGTAACACATAAGCAACCGCCACGCGCAGCCCACCGTGTGCACAGAGATAAGAGGCGAAGGTGGCATCTTAGGTGGCACTTCGAATAGAATTTAATTCTCCGGGCAACTCCGCCAAGCAAGCCGATATCGTCCTCAAGGATGATATCAACAAGAGAGACGCCGCCATAGGAACCAGAGAAGGGAGTGAAACTTCTCTATGCCAGCTCTGTGGAAACGTGGAGGGAAGGGCTGACTGGATTTTCAGTTTCGGAGTTTCGGGTTAACGTGCGATCCTGGGGATAGGTTTTTCCATCGATCATTATTCGCCACTCCGTATTGTGGAGAGGAGAGATTCGCGATTGGATCGCATTTCTGTGGAGTTGCTGCTGAATATACGTATTCGAGTTTGTTAGCTTCGGTTTCTTTGGAGTAAATTTTGGCATCTTATTTTGTGAAAAGTACAAGAGGGAATTGAATCAGAATTCTTTGTACTGAAAGTTACATTTGTTGGCTAAATGTTCCTAAATTTTTGATGAAAAATAGGGATAATTGTAGGAGATACGGATATCGATAAGAGGCGAGAGTGCTAGTTTTGAAGATAAAGAATCGAAAGTTTATTCGAATGAACAGTTATGGCCATTTGAATGGAAAATTGGCCATTTGGATGAACGAAAATATTCCAATCTAAGGAAGATCGACAATTACCTCGAGCGATAAAGTCGAAGCTTGAGCGTCACTTTTTGGAGGGGTGACTGGCGGAATTAAGACAGTCAGAAACATTTGATGGCTCACTTGGTATGCATGGTCCCGGTTATAAGTCAAGGAATTGCCCAAGCGGCCGTAAAATCTAAATCTCTGGCACTCGTCGCGTACCTCGTCCCCTTTTTCGCCGCGGACGTACATCCCTGGACCAGGTTATTTCAAGAATCCTCTGAACTCATCACACGTTCAATTTATCAGCGACTCAGACCACCCTTCTTCTCTTCTACCGTCGAAATACGTCGAGAAACTGAACGTCGCAACCATCTTCTCACCTTTACTCTCGAAACGTAAAATACAAATTTCCCAAACTTTTCACCTTCGAAATTTCTCCACTTCAACGTCGAACAGAAAGTTCAATCTACGTTGAAACGTTTAAAACTACTCGCAGGCTCCAGGTTGCATTATCGGGACGCAATTCCACAGATTACGCGATACGATTCCAGCAAGGTTTCCATAGAGTGGCACGATTGGCCTGGAAACCATATCCTCTCGTCGACCATTTCCTTGGTGCTTGTACGCGACCAATGTGGACGCTGGATTTTAATGGAAAATCGACTGCTCGCCGGGTAGAGGAAGCGCCGTGGAAGAGAATCACGATGATTCCGTGAAATATGGAGGGCCAGGAGCGAGCAGGTTTTCCACGGAGCCGGCAAAGCTGCGCGCCGCGCTGGGCAAGCGTTAATGGCTGATTGATAAACGACCTTCTCTCATCAACTGCATCGGCTGCATATTTATCACCGGGACAGACTCAGCAGTCCTCGCGTTAACGTCAGCCAACTGGAAAGTATTCGCAAGATATTCCACGAAAAGTATAACCCCACCCCTATTCTATTCTTCCTCGAATAAATTCGAATCGTGAACGGACAATTCGTGAGTTGATTGTAATATCGATCACGGATAGATCGTGGATTTTCGCATAATTCAACGATGCTGCGGTGTAGCTTTTCTGCAAGGTGTCCCCTTGACACTGTTAACATCCAAGGGATGTTAACAGCTCACGCGTGTCGGCCACGTGCCGCTCGAGCTGCGACCCTCTGCTCGTTTAACTTGCACGAATTGGGCGTCGCGATGCCCTTTCTGGCCGATTTGCAGGACAGAATCTATATAGACAGATGCTTGTTGAAACGAGACTTGCACGATTCTCACGATGAATCTTCACCCGTTCTTTTTTTTTTTGTCACGAGACAAAATAAAGGCTACTCTTTGTCTCTATTTTCTGATCGCGAAGAAAGAGGGAGAAATAAATAAGTCGATCAGGGTTCGGACAGCGGAGGAGCATAAAGTGGAATTAGGGATCGGTGTATCGCCATCAGGAGCCTCGCAGGGCGATAAATATCGTTCATAAGCCACGAATGGTCGTTGGAAGATACAGAATTATTCCTCGGTGACCTGCTGAGAGAAGCGTGTCACGAATTGGTATTAAATTTGCCACGGTCCATTGATTATCCAAGGATCGTAATTTATTCCAATTACGGATAAACTTCTATTCCAAGGGAGAATTGTTTATAACAAGAGTTTTTCTTTTCCCCACTTTTAATCCACTTCTGATAAATAATTTCAAGAGGTAGGAAGCGGGGAAAAACTTGGACACAGGTCGCTTCATCTTCCTCGAGTCCAATCGAAAAGTCATTACAACTTTTTGCCGACTCAATCAAGAAGTTAATGTCCTTTAACCTCTAGGCGTTCCCCGTAGAATCGAGCCTGGTCGTAAGAACTCGACGGCTCTCACATGCCCGGCAAAATAGATCGCCAGCTGTATGATTGATCGTCTATTGGCTCCTTCCTCTTTCCTTTCTCTCCATCAACCGTAACGATAAGACTTATTCCTCGGGATATAAAATTCCAGTCTCGCACCGTTCGTCTCCTTTTCCCCCGTTACACCTTCCAAGTAACTTGGCTTTCCATTTTCAACGAAAATAAAAAGAAAAAAAAAGGAAGAAAATCCCGCTTATCGCGTAGAAACGTTTTCGCGAGAGCCGTATGTCACCTGGAGGGGATCGTGGTATTTATCGAAGCCGCGAGAAATGGGGGGAATTCGTCAGGAAGATAATCCGTAGAATGATGATCCTGGATGGCTCTGCTGGTACCTTCTGTCCAGTACGGTCGATTTAATACGCCTCATTTCTCCTCACCAACGCGAGGTGTCCCTCTCAGATGACCATAGAACAACCCTAAGGCTCGCACACAATCACCGGAGCAAAAATAAAGAGGAATTAAAATCCACACTATCGTTCGATAACGAACACCACACTCGACAGAGAAAGAAAAAAAAATAACGAAGATCCCTGTTCCAACAGAGAACGCGTTTCGTCGAAAGTCGTAGCGAATGATCATTGGCGGGATAATCGGGAATGGTGGAGGTCCATCAGCGGATTCGACGAGTCTGCCGAACGTCCAATATCCATGAGGTCGGCCATAAAAAAGGAACGCGAGGCTGGCGCGGGCGTTAAAAATATTCAAGATCGTTTGTCAGCCTGAATTACAGCCCGCCATCACCCCACTCTCTCTCTCTCTCTCTCTGTTCGGTTAGCCCGGGCTAACGGGGTAAAACGGGATCCTGCGGAACGCGTTGCGCAACATGGAGAGAGGGCAGAAAGAGAGAGGAAAGAGTAGTCGACGACGACTACACGGCCACGACGCCGATGACGACGACGACGACGACGGCGACGACGACGACGAGGACGAGGATCCCAGGCACATGTGTCGAACCTGAAATATGTAGGCGTGGTCTGGATGGGACTAGCAGACGCGTCCCGACGACCGAATATGTTCACCCCGTTCGTACGCTCCACCCCCGTCTAGCCGTGGAAACGTTGCCATTGGCCGGTGCCACCCTCGTTGCGCCTCCACCTGCCACGCCGCGCTACCCTCCGTGGGATTCTACCCCTAAATACAGGGGATGCGCGCTTCGTTCCCTCATTTTAACGTGCTCGGCCGTTCGACGCTGTACCCTGCTCTCTATGTTCTCTCATCTGTGTTTCAATCTGTGTTGTGATTGCTGAACGGCTGACTGTGTGATCACTGAGAACACTTGTGCTTTCCCTTGGACTCGTATATATTCTTCGCTGAACCAGAGAGGACGCTTCTGTGTAATCGATCATGTCGTAGAGGTGAAGATCAACACCCCAACGGGGTGAACAGCGTGGTTGTCTTCGAGTATACACGGTGTCCGAAGGGAAGAGGATTCTTCGTTGGACGCGTGGTCCGGTAAGTTTTGTTTTCTCACGCGACAAACTTTCGCGACACCCTTTTAAGTTAAGTCACTTTACGAGCCTTCTACTTGTCGAACCGCGTCGATTATCTCATTGACCCAATTCCCCCTGGCCAGAGCAACATCTGGCTCGGGTGTTCGGCCGTGACACTCATCCTTCATCGCCGCGGAGCGATGTAAATTGACCATCGGCCGTGATTGTCATAGGTCGATCGTCCGGAACGAGCAGGATGACAATGGAAGATCGCACGGGTGGCATCGACCGCGCCGCCCCCGCGACGTCCACGACGGCTACGACGGCGTCCAGTCCATCGTCCATCAGCGACGTCACCGCCGACGCTTCGTATCCTCTTCAGCGCGCCAGCAAGCGCACCTTCGACGTTGCGTTCCTCGTCGCGCCTGACGAGAACTTGGCGCGACGTCAGAGCGAGAAGTTGAGGCTGGTGTCGAGTAGAAAAGACCGTCTCAGAGAGGATATAGCAACGGAGAACGCGATAGATTCCGACCGGCTGCCACAGAATCTGACGATCAAGAATTACGACAACGATTCCGGAGGTTCCGATAGAAGAAGGTTGATGCAGTGCACAGAGAACTCGTTGAGTCCTCCGTATATATCTCCCAGGACTCTGACACCGACTCTGCCAGGTCTGTCACCCGAGAGCGACGCCAGGAGATTCGTTTCCGGCAGCCGTCTTCAGAAAACACCGAGTCCACCTTCGTTTGCCACACATCAGTCGATCTTAACCACCTGTCCCGACACGATAGAATCTAATTTATCCTGTAACAAAGTCTACGACACCGGTATATCCTGTCCATCTGACAGACACGGCGAATCTCGCAGCGCATTCACGAAGGTGAACTTGACCAGTCAGAGGAACGGTTTCAACGACGATGGACAGACTTCTCCGAGATCCTCCATATCACCAGACGATCGTAACAGTTATCAGAGCAGCGTCAGTCCTCCCGTGGTACCGTTAGCTGCTACCACTGGGTACAAGTACGCGCCATTTCCCACCAAAATGACCTATCCCTTCCTAGTCAGTCCTGAGAGCAGTCAACCTGCTCTCCTGGAGAACCTGAAGATTCCTCAGATAGCACAGCCTCCCAAAGTACCCAGTCCAAAGATGCCCAGTTTTCGACCAGATCTCCCGCCAGTTTATCCAAATCTCCCTTACAATCCTATTTCCGTGTTTCCACCAATGGCCGAGGCGTTGACCAGGCCGAGATTCTTGGCGACGGCCGCTGGAGTGGCTGGTCTCTTGCCTCCTTCGTTCGCCGCGTTGACTCTGCCCGCGCAGAACGTTTGCGCCAAGTGCAATCTCTCGTTCAGGATGACCTCTGACCTGGTCTATCACATGAGGTCCCATCACAAGAACGAGAACACCGGCGAGGCCGCCAGGAGGAGAAGAGAGGAGAAGCTGAGGTGTCCAGTCTGCGACGAGAGCTTCAGAGAAAGGCACCATCTCACCAGGCACATGACTGCTCACCAGGACAAGGAGAGCGACGCGATCGTGGACCAGGTCGAGGTGAAGAGGAGGGCCACTACGGTTCACAGCAAGTGACGACGGAAATCGTCGACAGAGGAGGCGATTCTGACAAGTGGCTATTCGTTCGAGAACTGAGAGAACGTCAAGTTTCACGAACTAGTAGGAAGGGAGGATTCGGTTCCACGATCGCGGTTTTCTCGGAGAGAGGTAGGGTGCTAGGATTTTTAAGGAGTTTCTAATTTAATTGTTGGTCCAAAGTTTTCTAAGGTATCATCGTCTTACGTATACATACATAAGTAGCTTCACACTGAAACACAGGATCACACACACACACACTTATTCTAGCTCCTCGTTCACTCAATATCCCACAAGTTTCTCGCACGTCTCTATCGAACTTTACCTGGTATACGTGTACGATAACGAAGTAATTTAAGCTTTAAAGTTAGGAGATCTTACCTTAATTAACGATAAGGTGACAAATCCCTCTCTAGTCAATATTAGGTAGGAAAAATTTGTACATAATCTATCTTATCTTTAAGTCAATCATAGGAGTATTCCTTGAATCCCAATACAGAGCTGGTCGAATAATTGCCTCCCTCGAAAAAAGAAACCAGAAAAAATTGTCAAAAATCATCTAACAGCTTTGACGGATGGAACGATGAAAAATTCATAGGAGTATAAGGAATAAAGGGTCGTTTGGTGGGCAGGTGAATCGAGAGGGTGGATACACAGGTGGGGCAGGAGGGATTCACCAGGCGGGGACACAAGGTTCATTTGTGTGTAAGGGGTGGTGAGAGGGGTGGTGTGGCAATAAATAGATCGTAAACCGTAGCCCCGGCTAACACACAAACCGGCGGAGCGCGCATAATGGTAGGAAACAATGAATGCCGTAATCGGAAACAGTGCCGGTTTGTTATCTGCCATTTACACTCCATTTAACTTCAAACAGTGAATCGGCTGGCGCGCATTCGCGTTTTAAATACACGCGACCTCCGTGCCCACCCCCTCGACTCCACCCCCGCGGCCTCCACGCCCCTACTGCTCGACGTACGGCTCGACATAGGGTTAACCTGCCCGCGCGGAGTGGCTTAATATTGCCCGGAATTGCTTGACTTATCGCCACTTCCGTTACCGGCTTAATTCTTGCTTATTTCGACGCTTTGCTGAATCGCGCGTATTTCTGGCTACGTGTCGTTCCAGGACTTTTCTCTTTGATTTTCGAATACTGTGATTTACGGAACGAAAGACTTATTATTTTTTTGCACAAGAATTTTAAGAATTTAGGGAATATATTAGGAATTTTTTTATTGAACAGGCAGTTGGGATTCAGCGGATACAAGTAAATCTTGTTAAGGATTAGAAGGATAAAAATCTACAGTATTCTGTACAGCAATAATTACAGTAGCGTGTATATACTCTCGTTGGAAGATTTTTCTCCGTTTTAAGGAAAGGAGGATCTTCTCCTCGATTCGATATCGTGAAACGACTACCCTGTGTGCGAACTTTGGCGCTATCAGATAACGGTACTATTATCGATACACGGATTCGTTAGGTTAGTAAGGGGCCGCGCGACGTTGTTCTAGTTGTACACGTAAATTGTAAGTCGGATGTAAATGATTCGTCGTCTCTAGGCTAAGGAAAAAAAGTTATCGTCTCGGCGTTCTGTTTCGTTTTGTAAGAATTACTTATCGATGTAAATATCACTCTGTACATAAGCACTGTATGTACTCGGAATCGTTGTTAATGAATAAAAAGGGGTATCCGTGAAGAGAATGTCGAAAACGTTTCACCTAACCTGCTCTTCATTTCCATGGAAATCCGTATTATTATTTTACTCGTCCCGTAGTAATAACTCTTTCTTTCACAAGTGGTATCAAAGCTCCTTTCTTTCCCTGTTCGTTCATCTCTTGTACGATTGTCCCTGTATCGTGAAAAGCCGATTACAGGCCAATAGATTAATTTCTGCCCACTCGAACGTCCCTCCTCTCCCATTGACCCAGCAACATTAAATCGATCGCCACTTTCCGACAACTGTCACTTGTAAAAAGTTGACCAGCGTTCTATTTTACAACATAAATAATACAGCAAAGAAACGACGTACAGAAGAGAAGAGAAATATCTTAGGAAATGTGACGTGAACAAAGATCGACTTGTTGAATCGAACATCCTCCACAGAAGACTCCCTGAAGACTATTCGAAGAGGTATCGGCCTCTCCAGAGAAAAACCACAGCGAAATCCCCTAAACGGGTAACGTTAAGCCGGTCGAAACCGCAGCCAATACGACAAACAATCTCTTACCGCCCTCGTTTCGGCTTAACTTCGCC